TGATAGGAGGGGCGACATGGTCGTTCAGATCTTCCTCTTCCTGATCAGCAGTTAATGGAAAGTCTGTTGGGTGGGCAGGTAAAAATGCAGCTTCTCCGAAAACATGCTTATTCAATGGGCAGATACCGGTTTTCTTAAACCCATTAATGGCTGTGTTTGGAACAGCAGCATGTAGATAGGCCTCACCAAACAAAGCACTTGTAGATTGTCACAAGCCTGCCAGGATTGTTTCTGAGGAATGTTTCAATAGCCCTCACATAGTAGGCATTCAGTGGTTTCATAAATGAAACATCCAGTGGCTGCATTCGGTGACTGCAATGTGGTGGTAAAACAACAATCGTGACATAATTATCCCTGGCAAGATTGATAACATCAAGATTCTTAATATGGGTCATATGTCCATCCATAATCAACAATACTGGATCATTCACTGATGGTTTGGTGTGGGCAATAAAGTGCTGAAACCATTCTGTAAAAATGGGGAGCTGCATCCACCCAGATGGATGACAGGCAAATCCGGTTCCTGGTGGAGCACCATCCTTTAGTTCTTGCTTCATACGAACCCGTGGAAAGATGAGGAAAGGTGGAACAAACTGCCCTCCAGCTGACATGCAGCAAACTGCTGTAGCTAGAACTCCTCTTTCAGCAGAAGTCAGACTGCCAATCTGTTTTTTCCCACGCTGACCAAGGATTTTTGTAGGTTTTGTCTGCACCGTTGTAATACCTGTCTCATCCACATTGAAAATCCTGTGTGGAGGAAAGAAGTGGCCTTCCTGAACTAAGGATAAGATGTCGAAGAACTTGTCCACATTTGTCTGGTTGAAGCATCTTGCTCGAGCAGCAGAAGTTGGTTCTGGGGTCCGAATTGAAAGTTGTGGGTGGCGCCGTAGGAAGCCCAATAACCAGTCTTTACCTGCAAGTCCAACCTGGTAAAAGACAGAAACAACAGATAAAATGTAACTGGAATAAAATCAAACTTCAATGTGTATCAAACCAGGATGTAAACTAAGTATGAAAGTAAGAAACCTGTTCTGTAGAAAGATCTCACCGTTTTGTTAAATTTGTGGTCCAAGTTATTCCTCTCCGCTGCTTGGAATGCAATGTAGCGAACATCCCTTGTAGTAAGTCCAAAAAATCGATCTTCCATCGATAAAATGTGAGCAACCAACTCTTCTTCTTGTTCATTACTGAATACCGTCGTGAGAGGACCAAGCATCTGGAAATAGAGGAAGACATAATATGTTAGAAGTTAGAAACAAAAACGAAATTCAATAGGACAACGAGCCCAAAAGAAGGAACAAATTCATAAATATTAATAAAAAAATTAGGCTTTCAGGAAATGTTACACAAGATAGTTAAGTTTTGAAGATGCTAAACAGTTTCTTACCTTTGTCGAACCGGTTGCTATCTTACTTTTCTCTTTAACGCGGCGACGTAGACTAGTCTTGGGGACATTAAATTCCTTGGAGGCTGCTTTCACACCCATCTTTTTTTCTTTAACTGCAGATATTGCATTCTGCATTGCTTCTGTATTCCATCCCCCTCTATTACTTATTCTCACGTATTTCCGGGGCATCTACAAGGAAAAAGGAAAGAAAATGCTAAGTGTTTGTAAAATATTTAGAGTAAGGGGTGAGATGGAACCTTCGGGGTCCATCTCACCCCATACGTAAATATTCGCATTATTTTTTTTTAATAAAACATCTATGTTTTATATATCATGTTATGGCACATACCTATAATGCACACACGATTGGCTATATGCAGCATAAATACCAAATCATTACAGCGAGTATATCAATGCAAAAAAATAATTATCTTACCTTCTCCAAATAACATCAGCACTGTCAAAAAACACAAACCTCCACCTCGAGTGCCAATGCGGTACTGGACCTGGCTTCCGGTTGCACCCGCGTGAGTTACAGTTGATGTGAAGGACATCTAGTGGCAACAATCTTAACCATGCCCTTTCTAATTCAAATTAGTGGGGGGGGTCCATCTCACCCCAGGGGTCCGTCTTACCCCACCTTCCCCTATATATATACGTATATATATATATATATATATATATATATATATATATATATATATATATATATATATATATATATATATATATATATATATATATATATATATATATATATATATATATATATATATATATATATATATATATATATATATATATATATATATATGCAAGTAAATCACTGTAGGTGCGATCTAGGTATGTGCTGTAACCACAAGGAAAGAGAAAACACAGAAGTTCCCAAAAGCTTCGTGTAATTCACATCTTCAGGGTTGAGTACAGACCCTGAAGATGTGAATCTTTAGCATATATATATATATATATATATATATATATACGTATATATATATATATACGTATATATATATATATACATATATATATATATACATATATATATATATATACAGTATTACCCCGCCTAACGCGGTTTCACTTAGCGCGTTTTACCGTATACGCGGTGCCTCGCCAGAGCTGAATTTTCACTTAACGCGGGTTTTTTCCACGTATACGCGGTGAGTGTCCGGCTCGAGAGCTATTTTTAGATTCGCCCCACCTCCCACCCGCCACCCTGCCTGACTGCCTGTTTTAGCTCATAAAATTCATACAAATTACCCAGCCAGAATATAATTTACATTGCTGGAATTCTTACAATATGATGATCATTTTGAATATAAACATCATAGATTTTGCATTAGACATACAAATTTTAGATATAAAGTTTATTCTGAGTAAATATGTTATTTTTTGTGCAAAATATATGACATATGTATTCAAAATATTCCTGGGCTTACAAGGAATCCAGCAATGTCAATTATATTATCCTAACTTTAGTTTGAGGTATTATTTATTACTAAAAAGGTAAATATTCTGGTTTTCCCACACATCTGGTGGGACGGTTGGTGGGGGGGAGGGAGGGACCGACCGACCATCTGTTACAGTGTGAAGAATACAGTATTTTTTTTATTTTATTAACTGAAGATATTTGTTTTAGCTCATAAAATTCATACAAATTACCCGGTCAGAATATAATTTACATTGCTGGAATTCTTATAATTTGATGATCATTTTGAATATAAACATCATAGATTTTGCATTAGATATACAAATTTTAGATGTAATGTTTACTCTTGAGTAAATATGTTATCTTTTGTGCAAAATATATGACATTTATATTCAAAATATTCCTGGTCTTACAAGGAATCCAGCAATGTCAATTATATTATCCTAACTTTAATCTGAGGTTTTATTTAATACTAAATTTTAAAATTTAGTTTTTCACCCAACATCTCTTGAAGGGAGGATTGGTGGGGGGTGGGGGGAGGGTTGGGACTGACCTTGTGGTTGGAAGAGGGGGGAAGGCAAGTTGGGGTACTTTGATTGACAGATAGTGTTGTGAAGAATATTTTTTTTTTTATTAACTGAAGATATTTGTTTTAGCTCATAAAATTCATACAAATTACCCGGCCAGAATATAATTTACATTGCTGGAATTCTTACAATTTGGTGATCATTTTGAATATAAACATCATAGATTTTGCATTAGACATACAAATTTTAGATATAAAGTTTACTCTGAGTAAATATGTTATTTTTTGTGCAAAATATATGACATTTGTATTCAAAATATTCCTGGTCTTACAAGGAATCCAGCAATGTCAATTGTATTATCCTAACTTTAGTTTGAGGTATTATTTATTAAAATTTAGTGGTTTTCCCCCAAAAATTTCTCAGAGAGGGAAGAGCCAGCAGTGTTGTGTGAGAAGAGGGGGAGGGAGTTGAGTCCATTATTTGAATGGACATTAACTTGGCGACTGTATTTCTCTATTTCTCTTAAGTATTAATTGTGTGCATGTACCATCATAAAATTAAGATGTTATTTTTACTAGGACATAGGTATTGTGTCGGAAAAAGTGGAGTTTGGGGATGGGCCAGTTTCTATTGGAATTAATCCCATATGTTCTGTTGTTCACTTAGCGCGGTTTTCACTTAACACGGTACCCTGTGGGTTTTATTGACCGCGTTAAGCGGGGTACTACTGTATATATATATATATATATATATATATATATATATATATATATATATATATATATATATATATATATATATATATATATATATATATATATATATATATATATATATATATATATATATACGTATACGTATATATACGTATACGTATATATACGTATATTTATATATACTTATATATATATACGTATATATATATATACGTATATTTATATATACGTGTATATATATATACGTATATTTATATATACGTATATATATATATACGTATACAGTTTTACCCCGCTTAACGCGCTTTCACTTAACGCGTTTTCGCATATACGCGGTGCCTTGCCAAAGCTGAACTTTCACTTAACGCGGGTTTTTTCCACATATACGCGGTGAGTGTCCGAGACGCTATTTTTAGATTTGCCCCACCCGCCACCCTGCCTGACTGCCTGTTTTAGCTCATAAAATTCATACAAATTACCAGGCCAGAATATAATTTACATTGCTGGAATTCTTATAATTTGGTGATCATTTTGAATATAAACATCATATATTTTGCTTTAAACTTACAATTTTTAGATAAAATTTTTTCTCTAGGTAACTATGGTATCTTTTGTCCAAAATATATGACATTTATATTCAAAATATTCCTGGTCTTACAAGGAATCCAGCAATGTCAATTATATTATCCTAACTTTAGTTTGAGGTATTATTTATTAAAATTTAGTGGTTATCCCACACATCTGGTGGGACGGTTGGTGGGGGGGAGGGAGGGACGGACCGACCATCTGTTACCGTGTGAAGAATTATTATTTTTTTTTATTAACTGAAGATATTTGTTTTAGCTCATAAAATTCATACAAATTACCCGGTCAGAATATAATTTACATTGCTGGAATTCTTATAATTTGGTGATCATTTTGAATATAAACATCATATATTTTGCTTTAAACTTAAAATTTTTAGATAAAAATTTTTCTCTAGGTAACTATGGTATCTTTAGTCCAAAATATATGACATTTATATTCAAAATATTCCTGGTCTTACAAGGAATCCAGCAATGTCAATTATATTATCCTAACTTTAATCTGAGGTATTATTTAATACTAAATGTTAAAAACTCTGGAAGGGAGGATTGGTGGGGGGTGGGGGGGAGGGTTGGGACTGACCTCGCGGTTGGAAGAGGGGGGGAGGCAAGGTGGGGTACTTTGATTGACAGATAGTGTCGTGAAGATTATTTTTTTTTTATTAACTGAAGATATTTGTTTTAGCTCATAAAATTCATACAAATTACCCGGTCAGAATATAATTTACATTGCTGGAATTCTTATATCTTGGTGATCATTTTGAATATAAACATCATATATTTTGCTTTAAACTTACAATTTTTAGATAAAAATTTTTCTCTAGGTAACTGTTATCTTTTGTCCAAAATATATGACATTTATATTCAAAATATTCCTGGTCTTACAAGGAATCCAGCAATGTCAATTATATTTTCCTAACTTTAGTTTGAGGTTATCCCACACATCTCCTTGGAACGGTTGGTGGGGGGTGGTGGGGGGGGAGGGAGGGACCGACCGACCATCTGTTAGCCGGCTGTGTAGTGTGAGAGGGGGAGGGAGTTGAGTCCATTATTTGAATGGACATTAACTTGGCGACTGTATTTCTCTATTTCTCTTAAGTATTAATTGTGTGCATGTACCATCATAAAATTAAGATGTTATTTTTACTACAACATAGGTATGTGCCTTCAAAAAGTGGAGTTTGGGGGTCGGGCCGGTTTCTATTGGAATTAATCCCATATGTTTTGTTGTTCACTTAACGCGGATTTCACTTAACGCGGGACCCTCTGGGTTCAATTGACCGCGTTAAGTGGGGTACAACTGTATATATATATATATATATATATATATATATATATATATATATATATATATATATATATATATATATATATATATATATATATATATATATATATATATATATATATATATATATATAAATGTGACACAGCTCACTTTACATATATTTTTGACACCTCACGAACGCACAGGACTGACGACGCTAGCCTTCCCTCCCCACAGACAGTGTGAGTGACCCACACAACTGCGGAGGAAGCGCTAACTGTTGTCCTTCCTGACGTGGTAGTGTCATGATCGTGATGACGGCTAACCTGAAAACCTTAAGGATTCATA